TATATATATATATATATATATATATATATATATATATATATATATATATATAGTATATACACCTGGTAGATGCTTTAGATGCTCCCCATTTCTGTGAAAAAGACTCAAACAGACAAACAAGAGCTGAAATGCAATGTTTGTTTCTTGTTCTTTTTTACTTGAAAATTGCTGTTCACAGGTTTAAGTCCAAAATTACATATGTGCAGTTTTTTTGTACGGAGAATGTGCAAATCACTTTTCCTTTAAGTGCGTGGAGCTTATAGAGATATACACTTTACTTATACTAGAAGGTAGTTATACAAGTGTGATGATGCAGGGATGTTTGATACAAATATCAATCCCTGGAAGTCCCATGAACAGCAGAAAACAAGTACAGTAGATGCAAGGACTTCTTTAGAGTAGATTTTTATGAAAATGTCACTAAAAGCATCAAATGCTTCAGGAAACACCTTCAATCATTAGAAACAAGTTTGATCAAGTTTTATAAGAGAAACAAACACTGACAAAAAAAAAAAAACTTGACTTCAGTACCAACTATCTACAATAGAAAAGTTCACCTTGAGAGAACAAAGGAGTGTTAAAGCTTGGTTTTCACGACTATCTCGTTCCAGGAATTGCTTGTGATGTCCTCTATGTTAACTAAAAACCTGTGTATAAAGTGCACGAACAAAATGTTTTGGGGTTATTTTTGTACTGAATGCTACTTGTAATATTTGTTAAAGAAGGTTGTGACTCAGCAGGAAAAGAAGGTCTCGTCTAAACATTATTTTGAACTGTAGCTATGTAAAATTTGACCTCTGTGGCTCTATGATGAAAAAATACAAAAAGGCAAATCGTGAAATAAGTTTTGTCTTCACATTTGTAAGTGTGGCATTTAATTTGTACAAAATAAGCATGCAACAGATCAACCTGGCTGTGATTCACATTCTTAAGACCAGCATTGAGCTGTGGATCCTAGCAATCTATTTTTGTCCTCATATCTTTGTGCACTCCTCTGCACCTTAACAGCTGTGCAGAATCAGTCAGATCAGTGCCAAAGCTCAACCTTTGAATGCTCTGGGTCAGCATCACGGACGTTTGCCAAACCCCCCCTGCTCTTTGAGACCATATTGGGTGGGCTGCTTCTAGCCATCATGACCACCTAACTCCCTACCCTCCCACGAAAGAAGAAAAGAAAAGTTTTTGACCATGGAGCATTCAGCAGATGGCTGCCCTGAAGCAGTACAAGGTTCCACCATTTTCATCTACAACACTGAGTACCACTTTGAATATGAAAAAAAATTGTGCTTCCAGAATCAATAATGTTGCAGAATAACAAGGTAACAGCTGTGGCAGAAACTTGACCTCTTTAGCTAAACTAATGGTGGTATGTTGTCCTACCCTTATGAGTATAATATAAGGTTGTATTACCGGGGCAGATGAGGCAAAACAATTTATCAGAACACAAGAATCCATTTGCACTCATTCAATAAAAAAATAAAATAATAAATAAATGAAAAAGAAGCTTTTCACAGTTAACACATCCTCCCAACTGTCATCACATACTAAAGCTTTTTACACCCTTTGGTCATAAATTTTAATGTAGAGTCAGTTCTTCAATGTAATTTTACAGCATGTACTGTAAGCTAAGCCTAAGTATAGTTAAATGGCTTGGACTACTTGCCTGCTAAGGATGCTCTAAAATGTAAAAATAAACCTACATGTAGGAAAAGGATTGGTCCTGGTTGAATAAAAGCTCAAGACACACAGGGCCTGGCACATATAGGACTTAATTAATATCCTGTTAATTAATTAGTTTCCCACATTAATGGCCTTTTTACTGAGCGCTTATTTACATGAGCTAAAATATTTAAGATCTGGTTACTGGAGGTAATGGATTGAGGTAAACAACATCAGTTGTTTATCCTAATCACATCACTAGATGTGGAGATTTTAAACATTATTGTGTGTAATGTTTTATCTGAACTTTAGTGATCTTACATTGGTGAAATTTACCTCTCCATTTCAACCCATCCCCTTGGGGAGCAGTGGGGCGCCAACACGGGCTGCCTGGGGTGCATTGTGGGGTTAAGGGTCTTGCTCAGAGACCCAGAGTAACAGTCTGTAGGAGTAGGGCTGGAACCCAGTACTTCAAGATTCCAAGTTCTATGCCCTAACCACTAGGTCGTCACTCCCCAAACTAGGCCGCCACTCACCTAAGATTTCAAACTTCATTCTTACACAGGCGATTGGAAGTGAACTTATGCTTTCTCAATTTATATTTATCATACTATACATACTGGTGAAAAAATGTAAGAAATGAAAAAAATAATAATGAGGTTGCTCATTGGCACAGTAGGTAGCACTGTTGCCTTACAACAAGAAGGTTCTTGGTTTGATTCCCGGCCCAGGGCATTTCTGCATGGAGTTTGCACCTTCTCCCTGCATGCGTGGGTCCAAAAACATGACTGTTAGGTTGATTGGCCTCTCTAAATTCTCCTTAGGTGTGAGTGTGTGCATAAATGGTTGTTTGTCCTTTTTGTCTCTGTGTTTCCTTGCGATGGACTGGCGACCTGTGCAGGGTGTACCTCGCCTCTCGCCCACTGAGAGCTGGAGACAGGCATCAGCGACCCTGCTTGGGATAAGCGTGACGGAAAATAAATGGATGGAAAAAGAAATAATGTGACAAATCATTATCAAATGATTTTGATATAGCAAAAATGTAATTAATACAATTAATGATCATTTTATGAGAGGTGAAGCTCAGCAATTGAATTTTCTTTACCAAATTGCAAAGCTAGGGACCTGCAACAAAAATCCAAGGATCTCTCTCTCTCTTGGTACACCGTTGAATCATTATAGGGGATCTTAAGGCTTTCACGTGTATTATATAGTACTTTCCAGTAGTATATGTGCAGAAAACCTCCAAAGAGTGACACTTGAATCATCATGGAGGACTCCTTTCAGTGTGGAGTAGCGTCAGCTTTGTTACAATATAATCTCTGGAAGACGGGGCTTGTAATCTTATATCTAAGACCATGTCCAGCACCCTAAGGGGAAAGAGTATTTCATTGTCTTGTATATGTATTATATGTATTTCTTTTTTTTTTTTTATCACAAGCGAGCGGAGCAGCCTCTGTCTTTCTGGAGATAAGGCAAAAATCACCACAGCTTCAGACACAGACATGCCTCACACTTGGATGAAGCAGTCCACATTTTTTCTGTGAAGAAATTGAGGAGGCTCCCATCCTACACACTTGGCTCAAACATGTACATTATCTGCAAAAAGCAAAGTTGAGGCCCTATAGTATCCGCATCAGAATCAAAAGCCCTTAAAAACATCCCTGACATGCAACACTATTTCCGCATCCCCTCAAAATGCCTTATTTGACACAGTTTTTAAAAAAAATACCTTTTCAGGATGAAACAAAATGCAGCTGTTTTTTTGACAGATGACCTGCCTGCTTCTCTTAGCAATTCAAATACTGTTAAATTATGTTCCACTTTTTTTTTTAGGTAAAACAAAGCCATGCTTCCCCCCTCCAATCTTATTTTGGAAGCTGATTATAGTTACCTTTCTAACACTTTTTTGTTCTCAACTTGGCTTTCCTTAAAGGAAAAGTCCGGTCTGCAAGGAATAACCAATGGGTCATTATTTATTTATGTTTTAAATTTGTATGATTTTCTAAATGTCTTTATTGATGGTACGAGGATGGTTACAGTACATGTCAGACTTTAACTCCTCTGAAGCTTTGCTCACATAATGAGCACCTTTATAAACGAACATCCCTCAATGACAGATATTTAGATCACACCTTATTTTGGTGATAATTTGGAAGTGTAAGTGTTAATAAGAGAAAATGACGGATAAACCTGCCTCCCAATGCCCAATGGAAAAAACGTCCATGGGAACAGGGGCAGCTGCAGAACCGACCCTGCCAAGGACGAAGAGCTTCCAAGGCCTGTTCAATGCTGTGAAATGGGTCATTGAAGTACTAAATGGTGTCATTATGATGAGTAATTAAAAGAATACAGCTGAAGACTCCCAAACTACCCTTTTCTCTTGGTTCAGCTGTGTGTTGTCATGGTTCTTTGCAGAAAGGCACCTGCCATAGGCCATTTTAACTATCACCCCTTTCACTAAAATGCAAATAGCAGCCTTGGAAGCTAATTGAATCGCATTTTCTTTTGTCCTCTAATTTAGTGAAAATCTGCAAATTCCCATCACTGATTGGTGAAGATTGGATTTTGCCCAAGCTTCTCATTTGGTACCACATGTCACACACTGTGGATCACAATGGATGAAAGCACCAAAATGTTTTGTTTGAAAGATGCACACTCGAAATACTTTGTTACAATGTGCTTTCAAGACATAAATATGTATGTAGTTTAGAAAATTGCAACCTAAGATTGCAGCGTTCTGTAGAGTCTGTAAACAGATACATAAAAGGATAAAAGATGGCCAAGCAATAAAAAAAATTGTGTTTCATCTCCATTAAGCATATTTGGAAATGCAGAGCATCCATATTTCTATGTGCAAAGCTTTTTTGTTGTCGCTACTTCAGGATCCAATAAAAATGCATGAAATTTGTGCCAAAGTAGTCTCCCCTTGGGCAGTTTATGCATTCTTACTTGCTTTGTGGGAAAGTCATTAACATAATGGAGAAGTGCAGGCTATGTTTGATTAATTAGAAAAACTAACTTTGGTTAACTAAACTGAAACACAGGGTTTTTATTAGCTTACACTTCTCCAATAGTATTTCGTTCAAGAAAGAGAAAGTTATCCATGATCTAAGTTTTTTTGTGAAAATTGTTGTGTTCTGTGGAGATAAATCCTCAACGCTTTCAATTAACATTCCCTGTGAGGAAAAGCAGCATTTAACATGCATCTTTATCAATCTTTCTCTACAGAAACCAGTGAGAGAATTCAGGAAAGATCTACCCTCTACAAGGCTATCAGGGATGTGTTCAATAACTGAGGACTCCAACCCAGATTCCATCAGTAAGTACAGTGCAGGTGTTTAGCACAGCTGCGTATGTGACTTGATTCAGTTGAGGTTCTGCATGAGCAAACGTACCCCTAAGAGGATTACATCTCTAATCCGCTGGTCAATACATATGACAAGAACAGTACAGCGCCAAAGCCCGTCACTCAAAGGACGTGTCATCCTGAGTGTGGACAGCATGAATATCCCTTTTTAGAACCTAAGCTGTGTTCAAGTTCAAAGGTTTTTATTTTCTGGATACAGTTTCAATATAAAGTCTGTCAAAATCCCTATTTTATCAGATTTATCTTTTTAAATTTATGTGATTTTCTTTTTTGTTTGGAGCCTTTGTTAAACATTTTACTCTTTAATAACAAAATAACACCATCTGTCCTGTTCTCAGCACACAAGTGATAAGTTAGGAAATAAACAGAAAAAAACACATTTGAGAATGTTAATTACTTTGTTAAATGGTTACTAATTAGTCATTATCAAATTAGATTTTAATTAATTCTCTAATGATGATTTTTGAGCCACATAAATATGACTCATCCGTTTTTACACATCCACAGTTGTCTGTTTGCCTATTGATTATGATTCGTGCAGAAAACATCTTTTACTTTTCCATTTTTGTTGTGTTGAATGAGCATTCCTGAGATAACTTGCTATACAAATTTGTTTAGAATTCAGGCTTTGCATAGTACTCATCTGAAATATTAAATAAATTTAGTTGAAAAGATATGAAAGTGCTGTTTTTAAATAAAGAAATCCTTTTTTGTCTTTCCCTCTTTAATCTGTTCAATAAAGGGATCCTTTTGCTAAGTGATGTAGGAACAATGACAGAATGAGTGTGTGCAATCTTAACTATTAGTGCTAATTAAGTGGGGCTTAAGATGTGATTTGACCCCATGAATCACCACTGACTAATTTTCTTGCAATTTATTCTCCCAACTAGTACAACCTTTCAGCTTAGCTGACTCACATATTATTCAGGTGTCATGTAAAAAAAATGCAAAGGGTAGGTGGCCTTTGGCTTCATTAAACCATCTGTCATTGGTTCAACAGAAATCTAAGAGGCTGACTTTTTCTCCAACCAATGATTTTCATGAGCAATTAACTTCTTCAATGACTGTAAAGTACAAAAAGTAAAAAGAAAAAAAAAAAACATTATGATTGCAGAACATTACCTTATTTGTGTTGTTACAAACTAAATAAAATAGTAAGTCTAATAAAAGTCAATTTTTTTAAGTTAAAGATGGCTTTTTTAGCATGTTGTTAAAACAACTTTTTTATTAATTGTTGCACTCTTATCTGACCTAATCTGGGTTCATTAACATTTCTTTAAAATATCAACAAAGGTTATAACTTTCACAATAATTTAGAAATACTCATTTAAAAAGATGTTTCATTTAACTTAAGTTTGAACTCTGTTACCATTACTAACATTAAGACTTTCTCCTGGTTGTCACCGACCTCAGTTCTCAGGAAAAAGTCTTAAAGATATTTTTCACTAAAGTTTGCTTTGCTAGTATTGTTAAAGAAAATGTTCTGTTATGTAACTTTCATCAACCTGGCTGTGTCCTTTCTTACTCTACAGTACTGTATATCCTCTAATGCAACGATTCCCAACCAGGGGTACTCGTACCGCTAGTGGCCCGTGAAGTGCATTGCAAGGAGTACATGAAAATAATTTATTTCTAAGATAGTAAAACAAAATAGGGCTGGGATCTGTTTTACTTTGTGGGGACACAATTGGAAAAAAACTTTAAGCAAGTTTTTATCAACCAAATAGTCCTTTTTTCTTCTATGTTTGAGTCACCTTCAGCTTTGAGAAACATCAAAACCAGGCAGACAAGCAGACTGGATATAGAGAACAGTCTCGTATCAGGTGTTTTTCACACCTGAGCTCATCAAAGCAAGCTCAGGTGTCATGAATTTTGAAATCATAGTAAAATAAATGGAGTCAGTCTGACTATAATTTTTGTTCGGTATTTTGTTCCCACTTCCTCAAGTTTATATTTTATTCTTATGTATTTATTTTTGATTCCTTACTAAGTTCCGGGCTACATATTTATGTTGTTGTTTTTTATTTGCGATCGAAAGAATCAAATGGCTAAGAATTAGATGCATATTTTATAATGAAGTATTGCACATTCTAGTCATCAATACTTTTGACTGAGAGGGGTACTCATGGTAAGACAAAATGCCCAAAGGAGTACACAAGTCAAAAAAAGTTGGGAAACATAGCTCTAATGTATTACTTCTTTTTACCACTGTTTAAGAACCATGGATGTAACAGAGCGAGTGGAAAACAACTGGAATTGGGAGGATTATAGAGCCAGACCAGGTGGAGCTGAAAAAGGGGCATAAAATGCAAAGATGAACTAAACTGATTGCAACATCATATGAAAACTTTTTGCGTGTCAATTTATTAGACAGAAAGGTGATAAGAATATTGCATTTCTGACCTGCTAGATTTTATGAATTGGGTGTTTTTTTGTTTTTTTTTTTCTTTTTCTTTTTTACCAATTAAAATAGTTTAATTTGAGTCTTAATCAGAAGTCAATTCTCAGTAATGGTGCATTCGTTTAGCTTAACTAATTTGAATACAAAAAATATGAGATATGGTTTTAGGATTTGAGAAAATTTTGTTTATTACAGTGCTTTGATTGTTGTCCACTGTTTGCATGACTTTTGTTGTGTTTTTTCATACATTTAGAGTGCATTTTAAAAACTGATTTCAGAAAATTATGAATTCATTATTTATTGGATTGGATAGTGTTGAGGCTGAGTTACAACCAATTTAGCCTCATCATGCTGCATAGTCCAAGCTCTTCCATCAACCTGGATTTCTAATCAATGACACTAGAGAAGAGTTATTTGAATGGATTACTGTAAAGAGCATCATGGATTAGCCTCGGACCCCAAGGGAGTTTTTAAATTGCTCACATAAAGTGATTATAAAACATCTGTATGGTGGACAATTATAGGACTCCTGTCCCGTTAAAGCAATGCAGGCCTTTTCTTGGTGTGTTTGTAATACTACAGCTTTTTAAACCGCATAGGCTGTTGTGTATATCAGTGCCTAAACATAGCTTTAGTTTATAAAGGCATCATCAACAGCTTTGTTATATGGATAACAATAAATAGTGACAGACTGTAAAGTCAAATCAGCCAGATTTGAACTGATGTTAAAGGTCTCTGATATAAAACATCCTATTTTCTCTGAATGGTAAAATCATATTTAAGTCTTAAGAAAATATACAAAAAAACAAAAATGCCGGAAATGTTCATTAAGTGTTAATGCTTGAAGTTTTAGTGCATTTCCCAGAGCTCAACTTATCTACTTATCCTGGCCAGACTTTCATCAGCTTTAATAGTCATCAAGTGATCATTTAGCTCAATAGATGCTGCTTCACAACAAAATGTTTTTGGTGAGCACCACATCTTTCAGCTTTGTGGACAGTATTTTTATAGCTTATTAGGCTTTGCTGTGCAATGAAGGGGAAGTAAATTTAGTACTTGCTCCATGGTAAAAGTGTGCTTTTGCCATGAACACATTTTTCTTCACAGAGCGTTACATATCACTGCAAAAAAACAAAAAAAGATTAAACAAAAACTGAAAAAGGTATCTTTTATTCAGTGCATTTGAAGAAAAAATTCCAAAAAGGCACTTTTGTTTGAAAATAAAATCCAAATGAGCACAATTTTAATTATGCTTTTCATCAACACTGTCCTACTTTGTCAAAGTAGGACAGCCTTTCCTACTGTATGTCTCTTCAACATGCTGAGGGAAACAATGGGAGGATTCTTTGGCTGTTGATCATTAGACAATCCCCTTACATCACCAAGGGCAATAATTACTTATTTCCATTTCATACATGGTCATATATTGCATCACTACACTGCTGAAAGATTCACTTAACATTTTTAAATCAAACGTCCTGATACTTGAAAGTGTTTATGCTGCCATCCTCATACAGTACTTACCAGAAGGCATCAAAATCAGAAAAAGCTTTATTGCCAATAATATGGTATAAAAATTGCTGATAGGTGCTACACATAAACATGTATACAGCTGAAATTAATAAATTGGAATATATAATATAAGTTGGAATAAATAAATGCAAGCTGTATTGGATTTTTAAAAGAATAGAGACAATTAGTGTAAAGTTTTGCAAAGAAAGAGCGTAGTGGGAGATATGAAAAATATAGCCTGCTAAGTTACAGGAAATCTTTTGAACATTTTAGAAAAAAGGGAAAGATTATATAAAGGAATCCCTCTGCTCAATTTATATAAAGTGACTGAAGTGTGACACGGGGGATTTCGTTGGAACAAATAATTATCTAAAATGATCCGTTGTCCCTACTGAAGAAGTACACAAGAAATACAGCTTTTTTTTTTTTTTATAATTTCAGTGTGAAATTATAAAAAACAACAACTTTAAACCACGGTTGAGGGGTTCTGGTGCCTATCTTCAGCTGTCAGTGGCCGAGAGGCAGGGTACACCCTAGACAGGTTGCCAGTCTATCGCAGGGCAACTCAGAGACAAACAGGAAAAACAACCATTCACCCACACACTCACACCAAAGGAGAATTTTGAGAAGTCAATTAACCTAACAGTCATGTTTTTGGCAGTAATCCCTAATAAAATTATTATTTTTATTTATTTATTTTTTTCGGAGGAAGCTGGAGTACCCGGAGAGAACCCACACATGCACAGGGAGAACAGGCGAACTCCGGGCCGGGAATCAAACCCTAAACCTTCTTGCTGCAAGGCAGGGGTGCTACCCACCATTCATATATTATTACATAATACACATTAGTGTTTGTTTTGACTGAACAGCACCCTTTTTGCTAAATTAAAATAGTGGCAGAAATTTGAATGATGTTTGTTCCGTCTGAAACCAATCATGGTTTGATTAGACAGCAGTGCCAAAGCTCTCATTGTACTAAAGGATCGTTATTATAGAGCTCAATTTTTTACTGACTAGTTCTAGATGTGGTACTAGATGA